AATATCTCGCAAGTATCCAGGCAGGATTCATTATCATTTTTCGCTGTGTAGGTAGGTAGGTAGGTAGGTAGGTAGGTAGGTAGGTAGGTAGGTAGGTAGGTAGGTAGGTAGGTAGGTAGGTAGGTAGGTAGGTAGGTAGGTAGGTAGGTAGGTAGGTAGGTAGGTAGGTAGGTAGGTAGGTAGGTAGGTAGGTAGGTAGGTAGGTAGGTAGGTAGGTAGGTAGGTAAGTAGGTAGGTAAGTAGGAATTTTTGACCGAAAGTCGGATTGAAATTTGGTTTGCAGATTCAGATTCCTGGGAAAATTCTACCCTTATTTCATAACTCATACATTAAATTTCGAGATTTTTTTATTTTGACCCACTTTTAGGACGCCATATCTCAAAAATGGGTCAAAATACTTTCTGACGGCAAAAGGCTATCACTATTAGCACACTCTTTTTTACCTGTATACAAAATCTTGAAGAAAATCCTAAAAGTGTAGTGCCAGAATCGTAAAAATAAGGAAAAACTATGAATTTGACCTAGATTTTGACCTAGGCATTTTGGTGTCTAAATATTGAAACTAGGTAGCTTTTGAGGTCCCCTTCTTTTATAGGAATTCATTATCTTAAGCTGTACTCAGTCTATATCTCGTATTTTACACTTCAAAAAAAAATTTTTTCCTTGACTTTCTATCAGGATACCATCAGATCGATTTTTCTCGAAATTTCAAAACGCCATAACTTCCAAACCGGAAGTCGGATCGAAATTTGGTTTGGAGATTTGGATTCCAGAGAAAATTCTTCCCTTAATTCATAACTTATATGTTAAATTTGGTGAATTTTTATTTTGACCTACTTTTTGGACACGCCATAACTTCTAAACCGGAAGTCGGATTGAAATTTGGTTTGCAGATTCGGATTCCTTGGAAAATTCTACCCTTAATTCATAGCTCATACGTTAAATTTGGAGAACTTTTCATTTTGACCTACTTTTCGGACACCATATCTCAAAAGTGGGTCAAAATACTTTCTGACGGCAAAAGGCTAACACTATTAGCACACTCTTGGCTACCTGTATACAAAATTTTGAAGCAAATTATTAAAGTGTAGTGTCAGAATCGCAAAAATAAGAAAATACTATAAATTTGACCTAGATTTTGACCTAGGCATTTTGCTGTCCAAATTTTAAAGCTAGATAGCCTTCGAGGTCCCCTTCTTTTAAAGGCTTTCATTATGTTAAGCTATACTCAGTCTATATCTCGTATTTTACACTTAGAAGAAGTCTTTTTCCCCATTGACTTAACATGGGGCACCAAATTTAGCGATTTTGAGATTTCAAAACGCTATAACTTCCGAACCGGAAGTCGGATCGAAATTTTGTTTGCAGATTCGGATTCCTGAGATAATTCTACACTTATTTGATAATTTACACGTTGAAATTGGAGAACTTTTTATGTTCTGACCTACTTTTCGGACGTCATTTCTCAAAATCGGTAAGAGTAATCAAAAAACGATTTGCCTTTCGGAATTAGCTTTTTTTCTAAGGAACATGATGAAAAAACCCGGAGCAAAAATACCGAAGGACGACTGAGAAAACTTGTAAAATAGTGAAAAGCCACGATTTGACCTAGTTCTTGACCTTTGACCTAGATAAACATTTGACCTAATTTCCCAGAAACTAGGTTTCATTACCTAGTTGACTATGTTAGCAGATTTAAGTAAGTCCTTCTAGTTGCTGAGAAAAAGTGTTCAGAAAGAAAGAAAGAAAGAATAACTAGACTTTGGAAATTGAACGAAGTTCAATTTCAGACTCCAGATTTAGACCATTTTTAGCCGAGTCATCCAGAATAAGCCGAGTCATCCAGAATAAGATGGATGAATAAAATAGGAAGGTAGGATAGGATTGAATAGGAAGGAACGATAGGATAGAATAAGAAAGAAGGATAGGATAGAACAGAATAGGAAGAAAGGATATGATAGGAGAGGATAGGAAGGAAAAGATACGAAGGAAGGATAGATAGGAAGGATAGGATAGGATAAGATCAGATAGGAAGGATGGACAAATTTTTCAATATTTTCAACTTCTGTACTCTTGACTTTCTATCAGGATACCATCAGATCGATTTTCCGAAATTGAGCTTTCAAAACGCCATAACTTTCGAACCGGAAGTCGGATCGAAATTTGCTTTGCAGACTCAGATTCCTGAGAAAATTTTACCCTTAATTCATAACTCATATGTTGAATTTGGAGAACTTTTTATTTTGACCTACTTTTCAGACAATATATCTCAAAAGTGGGTTGAAATACTTTCTGACGGCAAAGGCTAGCACTATGAGCACACTCTTTCCTACCTGTATACAAAATTTTGAAGCAAATCATTTAAACATAGTGTCAGAATCGCAAAAATAAGGAAAAACTATGAATTTGACCTAGATTTTGACCTAGGGATTTTGGTGTCCAAATTTTGAAGTTAGGTAGCCTTCGAGGTCCCCTTCTTTTATAGGCTTTACTTAGCTGTACTTAGTCTATATCTCGTATTTTACACTTCAAAAAAATCTTTTTTCCCATTGACATAACATGGGGCACCAAATTTAGCGATTTTTGAGTTTTCAAAATGTCATAACTTCCGAACCGAAAGTCGGATCGAAATTTAATTTGCAGATTCGGATTTCTGAGAAAATTCTATACTTAATTCATAACCCAAACGTTAAATTTGGAGAATTTTTTATTTTGACCTACTTTTCGGACACCATATCTCAAAAGCGGGTCAAAAAACTTTCTGACGGCAAAAGGCTAACACTATAAGCACACTCTTGGCTACATGTATACAAAAGTTCGAAGAATATAATTAATCTGTAGTGTCAGAATCGCAAAAATAAGGAAAAACTTTGAATTTGACCTAGATTTTGACCTAGGCATTTTGGTGTCCAAATTTTTATGAAAAAAAGGTTTTGAGGTCCCTTTCATTTATGGGCTTCCATTAAGTTTAGCTGGGCTTAGTCTATATCTCGTATTTTACACTTCAAAAAAATATTTTTTCCCATTGAATTAACATGGGGCACCAAATTTAGCGATTTTTGAATTTTCAAAATGCCATAACTTCTGAACCGGAAGTCAGATCTAAATTTAGTTTTCAGATTCGGAATCCTGAGAAAATTTCCTATAAGACTGATATCCTGGACATTGGATTCGGAGAACTTTTTTTGGACCTCATTTTCGGACACTGATATCTCGAAATCGGTTTGAGATACTTAAAAACTAAATCGACCCTAGATTTTCTACTTTTGTATGAGGAACACAATGAAAAAAACCCGGATCGAAAATATTGAAGGACGACTGAGAAAATCGAAAAAAGTGACAAAGTACTGGATTTGACCCAGATCCTGACCTTTGACCTAGATAAAAATTTGACCCAATTTCCCACCAACTAGATACTGAACCTAAATGAACTGTATAATGGTATTAACTGGATTACTTACAGTTACTGAAAAAACTCTTAAAGAATAATAAGAAGAAGAATAATAAGAATACTGGCAAAAACAATAGACTCCAGATTGACATCTGGAGTCTAATAATAAGAAAACTGGCAAAAGCAATAGACTCCAGATGAAATCTGGAGTCTAATAATAATAATAATAAGAAAACTGGCAAAAGCAATAGACTCCAGATTTTCATCTGGAGTCTAATAAGAAAACAGGCAAAAACAATAGACTCCAGATTTTCAATCTGGAGTCTAATAATAAACCTAGGCTAACAGCACGGCACTGTGTTTGAGAACAAACTAGCTCACTCTGAAGTTCATCGTGAAGCAGATGAGACGTTTATTGTTTATGAATGGTAGTTTCAAGCACATTTGAGAGACGGGAGTGCCCCGTGTCTCAAGTTACTAACTTTGGTTACATCCACAGGATGGGTCAAATAATTATAACCAAGATTATAATTTCCGCTTGATTCACTTATGAATATCATCCTCCTAGGCAGGTTTCCAGAATCCGTACCTCCTTCCCCCTGTCATAAGCAGTTAGCATTTCCACTATTAAGAACTCGCAATAGCAGAAGTGTTGCCATCTTTTATTCAGCTTTTAATTTGGGCTAGAGTTGTATTCACTTACCGTGCTAAAATCTTGGAAAAGTGGCTTAATTTCATGATTTATCAAAGTGTGTTAGTTGAATCTGTATAAAACTTGAATGTTATACCACATGATGACCCTGTTTATGTACATGTTGTGATTAAACATGCAAATGTTGATTGACATACAAATAATTCAAGGTTTTAAAGAATTTTAGCATTGCATCTATGGATATTTGGCCCAAGTTTTTTTAAATTGTCCTAGAAAATTATTCAAATTACATAACTGTGTAAATCAAAGCTATTATAGGAGAAAGCATTTTACTAAATTCATTAGAGGTCTAATATGCAAGTCTCTGAAAATCTCACAAAAAACGAGATCTAGCGAGATTTGAAAAGCTATATGGAAACTATACTATTTGATTCACTGTCGCAACACTGCGACAGCAATCATGTATACGTTATTTGCGCATAATTTAGATCACTTGATTCAATTTAATCGAGCGCTTCCAACTTGGTTTTAGCATGGGGTAAAAAGAAAGAAGATATAATGAATTTTGAAGCCCTGTGATCGGAGGATGATGAATATGAATGAGATCATTTGAATAAGTATACATTGAACAACCCTTGTATATTCTGTTCCTCGCGATTTAAAGTTACTATTTCTAGCCCTACCTAGTTTGATTGTTTACAATAAGTTAATCATATCAATTTGAATGTTACATTTTTGATGTTATGCTGTAAAACTTTTATATGGTATTATATATTTCATGTGCCTTGTGACCCTATTGCCATATACAGGGGTACAAATTCCCATAGATAATTGATAGTTCTGCAAATATGAAAATAAACGTTTTTACTTATAAGTTAACAGAAATGTATTTATCTAATTCATGGAACAGGTCTAATAAAATCTTTACTGTAGAATTATATTTTCACAAATATGTGGTTAATTAGTGGATACCTTATTCGGTTGGTCACATGCTCCAGTTCTGTCACCAACTTTACAAACGGCAGCCTGACAATGGAGGTAGATACGCTTGATATCTCCAGTGAACTGAAAGGCCAGGAATCCAAATTTGTATTGAGTTCCAGATGATCGAACAGTAAACACAGTACTATCTTTGAAACATCTGAAAATCAAAATAACAATTATGAAACTATACTCAGTTCCAGATGATCAAATTTCAAAACAAAATGTATTGAATAGTTAAGTATTTTTTTCTTTCAGCATTTTTGATATTTGACTTAGCTGGCTTGATATGATTCCTTTGATTATTCGTGAACTTTGGTAGCTATATTTTTCGAATGATTTTTTTGATTTTCTCATTACCTTTTCTCGATAAGGGAGTATGTGTTGATAGCATTCTTTCTGTCACTGCTAGGAGACGCAAAACAATTCTGGACTCCCATTTTCAAACCAGAATTGTCAGCATCTGTCATTCGCACATCAGCATATACTCTCTCAGTTGTGGCAACCTAAAACAGTTGAAATAAAAATGTATAATGACTTCTGAGCATTTTTTCTATAAGTCCTTGTTAATAATTTAAATGATATTTCACTATCAGAAGTAATAGCACACAGAGAAGTATGGGTTTTACTATTGTAATCTAAAGCTATTTTAGTATACCTTTGTGTGCGTTAGACACAAATAGATAATTAACTAAAAAAGGTAAGGTCAAGAATCTGCTTCTCACCATATAATTTGGTAATATAGGAAACGATTTGACATTTCTGGGCATTATTTTTTCAATTTAGGGCCTATTGGTAAGAAATTGGGCCAACATTTTCAGCCATTCCTCCCTCCTTTTGATTTTCAGATCAGCCCCTAAACCCCGAGATTATTTAGATAACATAAATTGTGATATAAAATAGATATCTGTACCTCTTTTTCAGGAGAGAGAACCTCTGTGGTGTTTGCACTGTCATAGAGTTTCAGAGTAAATGTAAACTCTCCCATTTCCTCATCTTTGTAGGAGACTCTCCTGAAGAACCCAAGATGAATAAGGAATTGACATTTCAGTCAAATAAAATTTTAAAGGGGCAATTAATATTTCTGCCCCTCCCATTCAAAATGTTTTTAACTTGGCAGAATTAAGCTTTTAGATTTAAAACATGGACATGCAACATTTTCACATGTGTTAAAACTTATATTCAAAATATGTTTGCAGTTGAAACAATAAAGCACAGGAATTTCATAAATTTTTGGTCAAAATGAACAAAATATGTGTGGATAAATTGTTAAGGTAAACACAATCATGCTTTTCGTAATGTATTACTTCACTGTTAGGAAGATGTTTCCTTTTATAAAATCCATTCATGTGAATGCTATCTTACCCTCTAGTGGCAACAAATTTAGCTGGTTCAATTTCAGCCAATCTGTCATATTTACACATAACAGCCAAGGCAAACTGACTCTTTCTGATGATGACTCCATTCTTAGCTGGCGCATTACCTCCAATGATTTTTGCTTCATACATTATGCTATCTTGATTTTCCTACAATGGTAACAGTATTATCATCAGCATTTTTGTGATATATTTTCTATTTTATAAGAATCACTCACACTTCGATTACTTATTAACTAATCTAGTTTTATAAAGTGTGTTATACAAAAAATGATATACCGTCAGAGTAAAGCATTTTGAAAGGGGCATTTCTCCAGCGAAAATTCCAAGACCTCCATTGTAGTCAATCTTACAGTCCCTGTTGCCCTCAACATGGAGAGGTTCACCAATATTGAGATTTTCTTTTGTGATAATTGAAGAAGGCACTAGGATGTCGATGTTAAGGTCGGCTGAACAATTTACATGGCCTGCACCAAGGCTTGTAATAGGGGCTGTTCCATGAAATAAATCAAATAGAAAAGCATTTTTATGTTGCAGATTTTTAGTTCTTCCAGTTAACTGCAATTTTATTTCATTGTCTATCCGCAAGATTTACACTTAAACTAAGCCTCAGTTATTTATTCAATTTTCACCAACATTAAAGCTGCTTCGACTTACAGTTACACTTTCCAGGTGTTTGACTTCGCTTCTTAAAAGAGAGCTTCATATATCTATAGCATGTGGTGTACGCGTATTCACATGTAACTCTACTTTATAACTTACCAACAGGTATAGTCAAAGAGCTAGCAGTACTATACTCTCGTCTGGTTGGTGTTGGAGCAATCACGGTCGTCCTTGGTTGAAAACTAGAACTTTTTGGAACAGCAATGGTTGGCAGATGTCGAAAACTGGAACTTCTTGGAAGAGCACTGGTTGTCAGATGTTTATAACTGGAACTTCTTGGAATAGCACTGCTTTTCAGTGGTCGATAGCTGGAACTTCTTGGAATAGCACTGCTTTTCAGTGGTCGATAACTGGAACTTCTTGGAATAGCACTGCTTTTCAGTGGTCGATAACTGGAACTTCTTGGAATAGCGCTGCTTGTTAAACTTCGAGTTGAACTTGGTAGTTGAGTTGTTTGCAGCTGAGTTGTGTGTAGCTGAGTTGTTGGCAGCTGAGTTGTTTGTAGCTGAGTTGTTGGTAGCTGAGTTGTTTGTAGCTGAGTTGTTGGCAGCTGAGTTGTTGGTAGGTGAGTTGTTTGTAGCTGAGTTGTTGGCAGCTGAGTTGTTGGCAGCTGAGTTGTTGGTAGGTGAGTTGTTTGTAGCTGAGTTGTTGGCAGCTGAGTTGTTTGTAGCTGAGTTGTTGGCAGCTGAGTTGTTGGTAGGTGAGTTGTTTGTAGCTGAGTTGTTTGTAGCTGAGTTGTTGGTAGCTGCGTTGTTGGCAATTGAGTTGTCTGTTGAAAATCTTCTGGGTTTGCTAAAACATGTGTGGAACATCTGAGCTTGTATTCGCAAATACAACTAACGGCTAGCGGCTACTGGATTAACGCCTGTCGGCTACCGGATCGACTTACTATTTTATGTGTAACTCATTTAAATACGAATAGTACCTGCCACTATTCCACCCATATATTCGCGAACACAAGGTTAGTCATCGCGGCTTTTTCACAAGTAAATACACATATCACAATATTGTGTATCAGTTGCGAACCACATCAAGGTGAAGTAAAGTTGACTCACTTGGTCAAGCTTGCATATTCTTCACACCCATTTTCTTAAACGTCGTAGCACCGGAAGTTTACGACGTTATAAGTTTGTAAGTACTCATCTATTTCGACGTTTTGACAGAATATGGTTCTTTCCCTTTCGTAGAAACATTGATCATACCATGCAGGTATACCTTTTGTATCACTGCGTCCCAACATTTCGTCTGAACACTAGAACTTCTCAAACCTTCAAGAAAGCACGACAATTTCTTGAAAAAAGATAATTTTTCACGAAAACCATAATACTTTCTACAATTTTAGCCCTATCATCTTGGAACATGATAATAATAACAATACAATTTTATATATCATCCCGACAATCCAGCTTCCCAAATCAATGAAAAAAATCCGAAAAATTATTTTTTCTTTGAAAGTATACGCCGTTAGGACGTTCATCCATTCATCAAGATCGGCCCTTCAGTGCTTTCATAGCAACTCTTGTAATGCAATGAATTACTCTTGGGCCAATGATACGTTCATCATGACATAGTTACTTCATTGTTACTTCGTTTTAGACAGTGTTCAGACGAAATGTTGATGCGTAGTGATACTAGAGGTATATCTGCTTGGTATGATCAATGCTTCCACGTCAAAACGTCGAAATAAATGAGTAGGCCTACTTACAAAGCCCCCGCCGAAAATACAACGTATAACGTATTGGTATTTCGGTCTTGCGACACATAAGAGATTTGGTGTGACATGTGTGATTCTTCCTAGAAATTCGAGAATAATTTGTTCATTCAATGTTAATTTTGTTTTGTAAGTTTGATTTTAATCTGCTCATTGGGTCAAAAACTACAGATTCCCAAGTGAGCACCTCTCCTCTCTTCACCCATTTGAATAGAGAGGAGAGGTGCTCCATTGGCGCATGCTTTGTAAGGTACTGTCCTTTCAATGATCTTTGCTTGAGAATATGCTTGAATAATTCTTTTTTTTTTATTGAATCAAACATAAATTAATACATTAAACAAGGCAAAGATAAAATATTAAACCACTTTCACACCACCTCCATTCATTCAGACATTCGCAACAGTCATACCCAGAATTTCCGGTATATATGGGGTGTCTCAAAAAATGTACCCAAAAGTATATCAACAGCATAGACAAACCAATCAATATTTTCAGACATTTTTTGCATGGTCTTGTAGATAAAAGATGAAAGTTTTTTTCCCCTATAGATAGTTTTTAATTCAGTTTTGCCATTTTGATACTTTAACCCGTTACCTTTTACACCACATATTCGATGTAACCTCGTATTTCGATGACAGTCTGCGTCCTTACTACTACATTGTTCATCACATTTGATATTTCTGGTGGAATGTTTAGATTTCTCTTCGGATGCTGGTCTTAAGTTGTTCTAGGTCTCTTAGCTTGGGTTTAGCATAAAAATGGTCCTTCAAATAGCCTCAGAGAAAAAAGTATGGGCTGTCAAATATGGTGAATAGGGAGGCCCTCACAATGTCTTATAGCCTCCTTATACAGAGAGGTCAGAGGTTCAAGGAACTGCATTGGTTGGGATTCTAGTGTAACCTTTGTTGTGTGTATCAATTTGAGACCACTGTGTTTTCATTTGGATATCATTTGGTCTCCAAGCTAGCCTGCCTAACTCTGGAAGGTAACTACTGAACCATTTTCGATAATTGACCTGATTATCTGTGTTTGGTCTGGCATCGTCATCCTCAAACATCTTCCTCTGTGGCTATTTGAAGTTGTGTTTTAATGCTCATTCCAAGCAAAAAGACCTAGAACAGCTTAATGGCAACATCCAAAGAGATATCCAAAACATTCAACCGGAATTATTATCAAATGTGATGAACAATGTAGCAGTAAGGATACAGGCTGTCATCGAAATATGAGGTTACATCGAGTATATGGTGTAAAAGGTAAAGGGTTGAATCATCAAAAAGATAAGACTGAAATAAAAATTGTGTATTGGGGAGAAAACTTTCATGTTTTGGCTACATGACCATGCAAAAAATGTCTGAAAATATTGATTGGTTTATCTGTGCTCTTGATATACTTTTGGGTACATTTTTTTGAGACACCCTGTATATAAACATGGTATTTTCAAATTGAGTCACGTCCAAGTTGGGATTTACCTCATTAAAATGTTTTACATATATATAATATTTGATTGCTAGTGATAGCCTGTTTAGCAAAGTGTTTTCATTATTTCCAGATCTTCCGAACACCATATCATGGGCATTAAAATTAAGATTTACATTGAATAATTTCCCTAAATTCTCTTTAATAGCTTTTAAAAAAATTTGAACCCGCCTACATTCCCAAAACAAACTTGTGCTTTAAAGTGTCTCTTAGTGGACAGTAACTACATTTAGCATCCTGTTTAATTCCTATCTGCGTTAAGTGAGCATTTGTGGTACAAATACCATGTAGAATCTTAAATTGAAGTTGTCGAATTTTATAATTCTTATATCGACTGTTCAAATTGTGTATGGTGGTGCCCTTACATGGATTATAAAGATTGTGGCTCAATTTATCAATTGCCTGATTATTTCTATCAATGTTTTGTTAAAGTTTATTCTATTTTCAAAGATTGCTTGGATATCTGAAAATATGCTTATCCAATTTATTCCTATTAATACAAAGTTGTAAAGCTCACAAGGAGTGCATTGTAAAACTAGCCTAGTATTAAAGTAAATAAACTCACCAGCCACCAGGGAAAGCAAAACGATTCCCAGCGTTGTCACAAACATTCTTCTGCTCCGATGAGTTGTCCCGTTGGTTTGTAACTGAGTAAGAGACACAGATGCACACCTTTATATAGCATTAATATTTTAGCATACCAGTATAGAATAAAATATTATATGGACTTTCTTGTTATTCATTATTCCAAATCCAGCAGATGAGGGTACCCCAAGGTACCACATAAAATTATACGGTAAAAATTACTCTTTCCATACCGGTCCCATACTTAGTTACGGGTCCTATACTACGATAGTAGTAGCGTTTCGGAGGCATACTAAAGGGAACGTAATTTAATTATAACAATTCTTGATAGAAAAACACTGACAAAAACTGTAATTCTAGCTAAGTTTCATTTCTTCTATATTTTTTGCCTAACTTTGCCCTTGCTTGTGTATTGTTTTTGAGGCCAGTTTAACTTGCCTCTTTAAAAACTACACTCATAGTTAGAGATGTTGATCTGACTTTACCCCGGGAACCTTATTCGACAGTCAGAATACGGTTACTTAAAATCCAGGTACTTGCTCGGATAATTTAATTTTAAGAAGTCTCTGAGTCAAGACTTGTGGCAGATGATAAATTTAAGAATATTACTTGAGTCGTACCATGACAAAACCTTCATTTCATTTTCAGAATACTCATAATTATCATAAAACCTTAGGCAGCAGATGATCTTGAGAGGCAAGTAAAACTATGAAAGTACAATCGTTCATTTCGTTGTTATGTTGCAATTTTCAATGTCATTTAGATTACGAATGTATAATGTCTTCATTAATTTAACAAATGAGTGATAAACGGTGTGAAGTAATATTTCGAACTCGATCCATCTGTATATATTTTTATGAGTGGCCATATGGAATAATGTGCCAAATATAAATCGTCATTCTTTGAATGATGATAACAATTATTTGAACGCCGTACCCGCGTCAAAACTACTTCGAACTTTTTGAAAGGTTTACTTCGAACGCCGTCAAAAATTATTTTGAACGCCGTCAAAAATTGGGTCTACTTTGTTTGCCGTATGAAATATTTCATTTTCGAAAGTCGCAAAGGCGATTCTCGAGCATTTTTCTCCCAATTTGAACATTTTTTGGTCCCATTTTTCCTCCCATTGACTCAAATGTTTAAAAACATAAAAATGTGAACACCTCCCAATTTGAACAGTGAACAGTCATATTTGAAAAATTAACCTATCTAATCTGAACACTTTTCATAAAATATCACATGTTCCATACAAAGTTGCTCAAATATTTGGGAATGAATGATCTGACTCATGGTGGGGCTTTCTAGAATGACTAAATTCATTTGAATCGGATTCTCATGTCACTGTAATGCCACTAAGCTATGTAGTCAAAAGAACTATAAATATTTACTGAGAATTTGTCCTTAATACATGTGTGCTATTGCCCCGAACCGGTCCGTCTTCTCGCTGCAAGCAGGAGGAAATTCTTTGTCACAAAGTTTGGCATTTTTTATAAAATCAAACGCGCGTCATTGAAACTCACAAGATGTAAATAGCATGTCATTTACATCATACCTTGATGGGGAAAAATAGATCTTATATGTTAGAAGTACTAAATAAAGGTTATCGTAAAAATGAGACAGTCGTTCTCGAGAGAAAAGAGCATAATGCGCATTTAGAGAGTTTTGGTCCGTTTAAAAAAATCTGTAAAAAATTGGGGTACTTAAAAGCATCGGGAGGCATCATATATTTCAAATTAGACACGAGGTAGTCAATATTGAGCAAGTTATGGCTGTTTTAAATTCAAATAAAACCGTTAACCCGTACCGGTCCAGCTTTTGACCCGTACCGGTCAATTTTCGTTAGCTGCGTATACCCATGGGTGAACTGTTGTAAAAATGATAATCAAAATTATGTGAGATACATGTAGTATATTTACATCAGTGGTGTCAAATAAGTCCCGCCCTTGCTACTTCCATGGGCTCTATCAGATAGTAGATATTTACATCAGTGGTGTCAAATAAGTCCCGCCCTTGCTACTTCCATGGGCTCTATCAGATAGT